TCAGTCTCCTCTTGATTTCCTCCTGAATCAGGTTTTGATTTGTTATCGTCATTCCCAAATATGTGAACTGTGCCACATTTTCAAAACATTTGTTTTCTATCGTTATGTCACGATTTTGCACTGCATTTTGGTGATGAGATAGCAACATATACTTAATTTTCTTTGTATTTACTTCTAGACCAACCTCTTTACTAGCATCTATTAATTTTTTTTTTTCCTTAAGTCTGCCAGTGACGGAGGGGCCAGCTAACAAAGGGATGGCGACTGAGTAATCTAGTATTATTTTATTAGCCCCCCCCCCCTTTAGGCATAACAAATTGGTGGCAGCGGTGGAATTTAGCCAATGGAGATGGCTGAAAAAGTGAATTAGTAATTGTTTTTACCCACCCCTGCCATCGAAGCATTATACATGGCGGCAGAAGTGGGACATCGAACCCCATCTGTCACCGAAGCATAACATATGGGGACAGTGGAGGTGGGATTAGCCAAAGAGAGTTGGCTGACGGAGTGAATGAGTAACGTGTTTTTCCCACTCCTGTCACCCAGGCATAACATCTTACATACCAAAAAAGGATTTATTTTGATATAAATAACGTTTTTGCCTATTGACATAAAACAATTAATTTTCTAACCTCCAAGAACAGTACGAGCCCACTGACATCTGACACCATCTTTACTCAGAAATGTGCACAGAACTTTACTGTTATGGCTAGCCAGAAGGATACTCTACTACATACCTCTGAATCATTGAGGTAGTGAACCTCATCAAATACAACATACTCAAGATCACGAATCACTTCACTACCGCAGTAAAGCATGGAGCGGAGAATTTCTGTAGTCATTATCAGACACTGAGCAGTCTGGTTGACCTGGAAATCCCCTGTTATGAGACCCACATCTCCAAAAGTTTCTCTGAAGTCACGGTATTTCTGATTTGAGAGCGCCTTAATTGGAGATGTATAAATGGATCTGAAATAGAATTAGTATTAACTGATTGCACAACTACTGTTGAATCAACAATAAACTGTGATGTTCTGAGGTAGAAGCAGATGGAAATGATCCAGCTTCTAGCATATGAACTCTGCCAAAGGTTAAAACTATTGTAGCATAATTAAATTAAGTGAATATCTACATATGCACTGCCGGAAAATGAGAGTCCTTTGAAGGTAGAGTGTAGTACATAACATAAGTTTCCACATAAAACATGCCTGTTTACTAATGCTAGTACTGGTCCTGTCACTACTTCTGATATGAATCACTATTCCACTACTACAAACATATGACTTGATAAGAAACAGTAAACTGTAACTTATCAAAAAATTATCCACAAGTTCTTGTGAAACATAAGAAATATTGCACGTTCCGCATGGAAGGGCAATTGTTACAAAAAAATAAAAATATATTATTTTTCAGCTATTTGGTACCTACTTCTGTCTTCAGGTCCTTCTCATACCCGAGGATATCCCACCACTAAAAGCACTTAAAATTTCTCATATATTTCTCTTGATTTTTGCACTCACCTTGTCATGTGCCTTTTTGAAAGAGCAATGGCATATTCTGCAACCACAGTTTTACCAGCAGATGTATGAGCAGCTACAAGTACATTAGCATGCTCTTCCAGTTTTAAAATCGCCTGTAAAGAGCACGAGGAGTGATGCCATCTTATTTAAAGCAACAAACTCACCAGTAATGGTTTCTTTGGGACAAAAATAATCTGAACATTAATCTGCGGAAAACCCCAACCTAGGAGATGAAAATTTGGAAGAAATTAACCACACTCATGAACATTAAATTCCTAATGAAAGTACTCCAGCTCAGGAACACTGAATTAGAAAGGACCATTAACCGCACTCATATTCCATTCCTCACGTATTTTTCACATGCAAGTGCTTCTCCATCATCAGGATAGTCTGCTTAAACTTCAGATAAATGTAAAACAGACTCCCAGCCCTAACCTATACATCAAGACCAGAACCTAAATTTAAAAAAGCAGATGGGACTATATTCATATGGAATACTTCAAGATATTTTAAATCCGAATTACGTTACATCACATAATACATGAACTATGTTTAACCTTTAAGAGATTGGCCATTTAAATTCTGGTAATGGAAGCAGGCCAGAGTTAATTTAAATGCCCGCCATTGTAGAGTATTAAAAATTGTAAGCATGTTACTGAAAATGCTGTGATTTCTACAATTTTTGTGATAAACGAACGAAATAAACACTGCTTTTATCTAGAAAGAATATAGAATCAAAGCAGTCTTCTGGGATTTTGCACCGTGTATATGTGGTGTTAACCGACGTTTCGGAGGAACGTATTGCCTCCATCTTCAGGGTAGAAGAAAAAATATATAAGGAATCTGCAAGCAAAGAGACCGTGAGAACCGGTAAAAGCAGACTGTCTGCTTGCAGATTTTATATTTTTTCTTCTACCCTGAAGATGGAGGCGATACGTTCCTCCGAAACGTCGGTTAACACCACATATACACGGTGCAAAAGCCCAGAAGACTGCTTTCTTCATAGTCACCGCCGTGAAAGCCTCAAATCTTACAATATAGAATCAGATATTGTAATTCACAGATATTAAAATCTGTAAAAATTGTTACACTGATTCCAAAAAAAAATTTTTCCAGTTTCGAGCATCTGTCCACTAATATGCATACAGTTTCTGCAAAAAACTTTCTGCAGTATAAATGCATGCTGCTGACATCCTGTCTTATTATGTCTTATCTGGCAAAAAGGGTGGAAGTTTATGTTTGTATTGCACATTCTCCAGTCATGTCAGAGCCTTTCTGTATGCATGTGTGTGGTCAAAATCTTATCATACTTTGTCCTTCGGAAACTCTGTGTATATCTCGGACTAGCCAAACAGAGGTACTGTTCTCGGAATAGCCCCGCATTGCCAGAATGTTCAATCCTAGCGTGCTGTGTTCGCAACACTTATAAAACATCGCAATTTCAACTATCCACCATGGCCTCACTTCGCATGGAAGAAGCCGAAATTAAGAGGCCGCTCATAAATGACACCAATTCAGACTGCGGTACAGAAGACTCTGAGAGAGGCGAGGAAGCAAGGTGCTCAGAAACCGAAGTCAACGAAGACCCATCATCTTTGTTGGCAACATGGGGACCACCAGACCAGCATGGCAGAAGGGGTGTGAATAATTATTCCGGTGGAGTTGTGGGGTTAAATATCAGTGAAGCTCCACATGTAAATAAGGATTCCACCCCTTTCTGTGTTTTCATGCTCTACTTCGCAGGGATTATCCATCTGCTGGTGGAAGAGACGAACAGGTACTACCAGCAGTACCTAGACAGACGTCAAGACAGACCTTCTCCGCGGCCTGACGTGACCGATTCCGAGATGTTTCTGTTTCTAGGAATAATCATTCAAATGGGACATGACATTAGAGACAGACTAAAGGACTACTGGTCGACTGTAGAACAATTTGCCATGCCTTCCTACTCTAACACAATGTAACGCGACCGTTTTATACACATTCTTTGTTTTCTTCATTTTGCAGACAACAATACAGAAACTGACAGGAATGCCAACAGTTATGACCAACTATGGAAAATTCAGACCATCTTCGACACTCTCAATGACTCATATGAAAAATATTATAACCCTTCCGAACATTTGGCCATAGACAAGATAATTGTTAAATTCAAAGGGAGGGCGGTTTTTAAGCAGTACATTCCTAAGAAAGGCAAACGTGTCAGAATCAAAATCTTCAAAATTTGTGATGCCGCTGGGTATACTTATGACATGAAGGTTTACCTAGAAAAAGGCAGGACATGTGCCGACCAAGACGTGACAGTGACACATGCTACAGTTAGGGACCTATGCAGACATATTAAGGGCGTAGGTCACAAACTGTACACGGACTATTTTTTTTTGTCACCAGACTTGTTTGAAAAACTGATGACAAATGACATAACGAGCTGTGGGACAGTCAGACCTAATCGGAAGGGCCTGCCTGACGATTTTCGACGAAGACAATTTTGACTGAAGAAAGGTGACGTTTGTGTTAGGGTGAGACGGAACTTGACGGCACTAGTTTGGAAGGACAAATGCGACGTTTACATACTGACAAACATACACTGTCCTAGAGCAGAAAGCAGTTTCTGTGATGAGCATGGAAATGCCATCAAATCAGCAATTGTTGTTGACTACAACACGCACATGGGTTATGTCAACAAAGCGGACAGAATGTCAAACAGTTATAGCATCAGTCATTGGACCGGGAAATGGACAAATAAACTATTTTTCCATTTCCTGGATCTGACAATTCTGAACAGTTTCATCCTGTTGTCATCCTGTGGCACAAAATTATAACCCAGAGAGATTTTGACTCACCCTTGTGTGCAACATGCTGGAACATGCTGCAAGGGGTCCACCTCGCCTTCAACGGTTCATGGGTCGACCTCCTGTTGTGTCATCGGGCGATATCTCAATTAGAGGAGGCCACTCGACATCACTGACCGACTTCCTCAAATACGAGACTGAGGTGTCGTGTGTGCTCTTCGCGTGGGAAATGGAGTTACCTCTCAACAAAGTGCATGAATTGCGACGTTGGACTCTGCATTTCCGGATGTTTCCAATGGTACCACATGAAGGCAACATTCAGTTAGATGACGCAGGAGGGAAGACTGTCTACTTATAAAGCTGGTGCCCAAAAATAATGTAAGTAGAACAAGAATTTCTATCTTAAAATTAGATTTGAAAACACTGTGCGCAAGCATGGAATGCGCGTACCCATACAGTGTCGCATGGCCACTCGGCTACACTTTAAAGGCCTCCATATGGTATCGCTAGGCTCTTAACCCGTTGCCGTGGTTCGTCGTGTATGTTTCGTCAGGGATTTAAATCGTCTGGGGGGGTTCGCCGTGTATGTTTCATCCAGCTGCACACCTATGTTATAACGCCCATAATAATTGATGGTTTTGCTGTAGATTGTTAGATTTTTCGCTGGCCTGTTGTCAGTAGAACAGAGTATAAATAAGACACGACTTTATCTGCGCCAAGTCATCGTTACATATGCCTGTCTTGCAGCAAAGTTCCTGTGGTTCTGGCGAGCGGTTTCTAGCTGTACTGTTATGAAAGCGTGTTTTCTTTGCTTTGAAGATATAAACAGAAGAGACGTGATGTGTACTGTTGTATATGGTATCATATTGCCCTGAGCTGGCCACATTAACACCCGTCAATTGGAATTCTTAGAATAGGGTTGTCCAGAAATTTATTCTCGCATGATCCATTGATTTCGCACAGTACAAAGGCCCAGTTCTGAGAAAAACGCCACAATTTAAGGCAGAACACTGTGGTCACCCCCTGAGACGATACGGATGTGTGTGGGGGAGGGAAAAGTACTCATTACTTCATGTATTATCGCTCCAGTTGACGCCATTTTATCGTACTGACCTTGGTGGTCGTTTCGAGGGATGACCATAACTATTTTTTTTTAGCCAGCTAAGCTCTGCTTTCGTCCTCTATATACCAGCCAGTTCTTATAATAAATTCATGAATTCTGTGGTCACCCCTACGACATCTGGGGAGCCGAAAAGGTTGGAATCTGAAACGCAGAAGCACCAAACCCTTCTTATGATAACACAAAGGTTGAATTTACTGCAGCTAATCTGTCAAAATATACGACTCACGGAGGGACATTTCCACTTGTATTCCCCCCACGGGGAAGAAGGCAGGGCCGCACAGAAGTGTGGTTAGAAAAAAAAAAGCAAAAGTAAAGATACGCAGTATTGGTTTGGTGAATGTGAGCCAGCGCTGTGTTTAGACTAATGCTTCAAGGCGTCACCTGCTTACATAGCCGAGATACCGGGTGCTCATATTATAAGGCAAGGTTATAAAACCATCTTTTAAGATCATTTTAGTGAAAGTTTCATCCTTCAAGGCGTACCATTCACTGCTCAAATACTAAACAACCTGCTTCCATTGAAGATATAAAGGGGGTTCATATTATAAGGTAAGGTTATAAAACCACCTTTTAAGATCATTTTAGTGAAAGTTTCATGTTCCTATCTCATAGAATTTAAGAACAATGATGAATAAATAATTTTCGAGCAAAATTTAAATGGCCGGCTGAATATATTACCGCAGGAGCCGCGGCCGCGGAATTTAAATGACCACGTCAAAGGGTTAAAGGTTAAAATCTGTAAATTACAATATCTGATTCTATATTCTTTCTAGATAAAAGCAGTGTTTATTTTGTTTGTTTATCACGAAAATTGTAGAAATCACAGCATTTTCAGTAACATGCTTACAATTTTTAATACTCTACAATGGCGGGCATTTACATTAACTCCAGCCTGCTGCCATTACCAGAATTTAAATGGTCTCTCTTAAAGGTTAAAGGTTCAGCTACAATAAATTATCAGCACCTAGAAACTGTCACATACAACCTCAAAAATTCATAGTTATATTGGTTCTAACATAAAAGTTTCTAAAACGCAGACTTTACAACCTGGTGCCATATCAAATTTCACAAGTTCATATATATAACATTACCTTAAATCAGCTGTAATGTGTTGATTAATCACCACATTGATAGTTTCTAGTTGTCAATTTTGGCCTTAACAAAGTTACAGTTCACTTCATAAATCCTTCACAACCTTAATTTCAGGGCCCTACATTTAATAAAGCTGGTGTTATTTCTACATATAAAGACCCTTACTCTTCCCATGTCATATTACTACTTCATTTTTCAGAAATAAAAAATGTATAAAATTTAATTTTAACACTATAGTGTGTACATACACAAACATAAGTATGGCATGTCATACTTGTTGCTGCTATATTAGAATTTGATGAAAAACTTGGTCCAAATCACACTTCTGTAATAAAAATTTTTTCAAAAAAGTAATTTTATTACATGTCCAGACAAAATTCTTAGGCATTACAGGTCCCTGGTACGAACACAACGTTCTTCCACCTTTTCATATCATCTGTTTTAGGTATACAAAATGCATTTCTGATAAAATTTTGGCTCAGTGACTGTTTTTTGTCATTTTGTCTCACATTTCTCTTCAGAATATGTAATAACTGTTGGCATTACTTTAAAATTGGCACCATATACTGTTTGCAACAATTGAGGTCTCACCATACCAAATATACTTAACACAAAGTTTCATAAACTGTAGATTTATTTATAAATTGTTAGCATACCAAATTCCATAAGTTCACCTAAAATACCATCTTGAACTAACCAAAGACAAAAATATACCACATGTCAACCATACTAAGGACTGAACTGTTACTAATAACTAACCTTTTTCTGAAAAGTGTCTAGTTCAAATGACCATGTCTTTGCCATAGTGGGTACTTTCTTTTCAAAATCTGTGACAGGACAAGATATATCCAACTCTTCGGCCCACTGTAATTGTGTCTGACGCTTCAGGGGAGCTGACTCTGTGATCTTTAGGACAGGAATAATATCTTCCTGCAGAAAAGAAAAAAGTTTCCTGTAGAGGAGTCCAGTAAGTTATTAAAACAATATGGCAAAAGATAAAATATGTTCCCGTGTATATGCATTACTTTGGCCACAGGAATGTTAAGACTCTAAAGACTGAATTTCTTGTACATAATATACAAGAATTCAGTTTGCGTCTCACAGGAAACATGTCTCTGCCACAAGCACCAACCAGCTAATGCTGTTTAGGGAAACAACCACTCTTTATTGTGAGGTGGGCAGCATGCAGTTTTAGTATGTTAAAGCAGGTGGTACATATAACCAGTGGACTAAATGGTTAATTCCACAGACATCTGCAACAACTTAACTTATAAGAATATCTAATGTTTCACCTCCTCCCCCCCCCAAAAAAAAATATGGCAGCACAAATATGGTAAAATAAAAAATGTTAATTTAAATGTTTAGAAACAAAAATAATGATTTGCATATACAAAAGAGAAACTTCCTCCATGAATATCAGCAATGTCATAGAGTTACAAAATCACACACCAGAAGATAAAACAAAGAACTATGGTGATATCCATCAGACACTCTGAACACATAAAGGGTTAACTGGGATGGAAATAAGCTGTGATAAATTAAAATACTGTGGCATTTGGACCTGCTGCTAGGCAACAACAGTTAAACAACCCACCATATAACAGCCATTGCTAAGTAATGCCTCCACAAACGAGCATGTTTCCATGGTGAGAGAATACAGCAACAATAGAAGAGACATTTTCTACATGGTCTGTGCCAAGGTATTATAACCAGGACCAGTTTTTTATACTGGGGTTCAGTCATTGTGAGCTGTTGCTGTTAGAAACTGGTAGCTGAGGCCAGGAACAGTTCGGGAACACAAAGGAAGGGGAACATCCACAGTTGGAAGCTCCTACCAAGCAACGGCAGAGAAGATGTAACTATGAACACCGCTCTATGTGTGTAATAGTAAATTGTAAAGTGTAGTCATGCACTGTATCAAAGTGTGCAATGAACTGAGTTAACACTGCAAAATGTATCTATAGTCACTCTATCACGTGACAATGTAAACCACTAATAAACAAAATTTTGGAATCTGTTACAATGGTCTCCAAATATCTTAAGATGTTATTCTCTCTGTAAAACCTGATTTCAATTTGCAACCAACGTTATCAGAAAATTCTATTCTTCAAGCCCATTTCTATACAGACCATATTAAAAAAAAAAAACCTCTGTGATTTCAGTCCAGAAGCGAACCATACCGACCAAGCGACTGCTGCTTGTCAGCAAAGTTTAGTGGCAACTTTTGCGGATAGAGGGTGTCGTGTGATCAGCACAATGAATCCCCATGGCCATTAATTTCGGTTTTCTAGGCCGGAGCCACTATTTCCTTGACTTAGCTCCTCAATTATCATCACGAGGTTGAGTGGACACCGTTCCAGACCCACTACTCTGAAAAAATCTGGTAGCGCCAGAAATTGAACCTGGCGCTCTGGATCTGTAGCCATATTATACATAAAATCTGAGAGGTCAGCTCACATTATTCCCAAGACAGATCCCTAGTATTATAAAAGTAAGATTTCTGCAAACATCTTAACAGCAAAGCAAAGGTAAGATAATTGTGTTTTGAAAGTGAATGAGAATCAGATCTACTACAGACAAAACTCTGAAGCACTGCCAATCTGCCCACACAATTACAGGAACTGCCTTCTGCAACAGAAAAAGGCTTTATTTTCCTTTACTGTCCGTTGTAATTCAAATTACAATGAAACCCCTTATTTTAGGTTCCCCCATTTCAGGCTAGCTTTTGTGGTCCCAATCAAAGCTCCTTATAACTAAAATAATACTTTCTTTGACTCAGGTTTCCCTGTTTAAGGATTACCCACATTTTATGCAAGAAAATTCAATTTCCGCAAAGGTTTCAGACCTTAGTTCAGTGCTGAAGAGAATTCTTTGCTTGTCTGAACATAACTTGCGTGTTCAAGGTCATCACCCATATTGTGTGCCACTAGTAACTATTACTCAGCTTCACATTCAGTCTGCTTTATCCACGGAGAAAAGGTACAAACTGGAATGGGAGGCTTGGTATTACCTAGAGATGGTCTGGACACCAAGGTAAAGAGTAAAATCCCTGCCCTTGCCAGGAATTTAAACACAGTTGCCTTCATTAAGTGAATTGTATGCCTTAAATAACTTCTCGTGAATCAGCCTTACTACCATTTAAATGCATTACTCTCATAAAGAATGGTTACTGCACCTTAGGAACTACTTCTGCTACATCAGCATCAATATCCACTTCCAGATTCTGTAACGAAATTTTTCCTGTCTGCTTCGTTTCATCTTCTTTTGTTTCTTCCTGCCACAGTCCAAGTAAATCCTCTTCCTGCTTAATTAAGGACATTAAATTTATAACTGCTGAATCCACTTTCTCTTCCAATATTACTTCTGGCGCTGAAGATTCAGCATCTGAACTGAGTGGTTCCTGTTCTTTCTTTTCTTCAAGTGGTGTCTTTCCATCTGCTTTTAATTTAATTCCTCTCTCAAAACCAGGTGGTACTGTTAATAAATATGGAAATAAACAACAAGACATGAGACAGTTTAAATTGGGAATAGTATTTTCCACCGGACATTAATGGAAAGGAGGATCTCCTACCAGAATAGAGGGCTGAAATGGCCTGGCTCACACTGACATAATTATTGTAATTGTGAAGTGTCCAGTCATTAGCATAGTGAGACTGTTACTTTACATCATCAACACTGAAAGAAATGCCACTGACAAAATTAGGTTCATACCATATTCATTTTAATTTGTTAAGTATAAATTTTATTTTATTTTTCAACAGATGTATAGCTCTGAATGAACATGGAAGACTCACCTTAAGGTACACTAATCCTGGGCCACACATACTTTTCACATTGGAGGACCCCAGCTAAATTTTGGGAGACTTTGAGGGCTCCACACTAGATGTCTGTGTTAATGGCATAGCCAAATAACTAGCTACATAAGTAAAAAAAGACTCCTGATCTCCAGTCCCTAATGTGTCATCGAATGGTTAAGCATCATCAATCAATGTTAAGATGCCATAATGTCCTGTGTTTAATGTATTATTGTATAAAATGAATAAAGTAAGTCAAAGTAAACTGCTATATATAATCAGTATAAAACTAACAAAAAGGTTAACCTCAACCGTCAGATATTTAAACTGGAGGTGACTGCAGGTGTCAGATGAAAATGTTTACAGAAATTTTGANCGTTCTGCGGTGGTATGACTCACAGCAAATTGCAGCCGCGGCGCGCACTTGATTGTACGCACTGTATATCCAGCCAACTCTTGGCAGTAGCCTCTGCTGTGTGTATCCTCGACCTTCAAAAGCAAAATGCAAGGATTTGTAAGCAGACAAGACCATCATAGACCTAGATATTCCCTGCCTTTTACTGTACCTGAAGGTTCAATAGTGATCACAAGAGCTCACCACTGGTCCATATCCCGCGTAACATGAATGCAGAACACACCTTTACACCCATTTCTTTGGCAATACATCCTAGTATTTATGCATAGGTCCCCAAGAGGTCTCCTCTCTTCTGGGTTTTGGACTTATATTTGATATATTTTTACCAATTATCCCACATTAGCTACATTTTCTTCCCATCTCTACATCATTTTATAAGATCATAATCTGTATATAAGTTTCTTTATGATACCACTGAATGAAAGGAACGTCATTCATTATGCAAGTGGAAAATAAAAAATTGGTATTCATTTCCTTTACTGTTAGCATACAGTTATGACAGATCAACTAAACTGAGACCAAAATCCTTCATTCCTTATAAAACAGTATAGATCGCAGTTGGTTTTGGTATAATGACATCATGAAATTTGAGTCCTATAAATAACATAATTCATCAGTTTTCCTATTTTAGCTAGTCTGCTAACTTTAGCTGTAACCTCAATTATTTATAACTTTGTACAGAGTTCCAAAGCAGGGTCTAACATCCCTATTCTTAGTGTAATTCAAAAAGCACCTGCTTTACATAAGATGTGTACACTGTACCCTGCTGTACATAAGATGCATACACACATATGCACTCACAAATTATTATAAAATTACTTAGTACAGATTAATCAAACAACATATTCATATGCTTTCTTCTTGTTACCTGTTAACAATGAAAGAACCCTTGTGTTAGTTCCTCTACTACTACATGCCACTGTACTTCTCTCTTCAAGCTTGGAGCACGCCAATAACACAGTATGACTTCTTTATATATGCTTATACTTGTCAGTTATATGCACTGTCTGAAATCTGGATTTGATCTTCAGAGCCCATCGAAACAGAACTTACTATTTACAAAATCTATTTCAGCATCTCCATTTTCATTTTCATTTTCATCCTGTAGTAACAGTTCAGTAAAACCTCCTGGCCAGAATGGATAGTTGGTAGAACTGCCTCTTACTGCTTCACTTGCCAGTCCAGGAGCTCGCAGCAAAGACATGGAGTTCTTTGCTGTGTGTCCAATATCATCTACAGCTACTTCCCGAAACCGGAGAAGTTTCCCTGTTGTGGGATCTCGATCTACCTACAAATGCAAGCATTTCAAACTTTATCAACTCTTACGTGAATAGCACAAAGTGACACAAAATTGGATATACTACTCCACAGAGATGTTTTCCACTTGTACTGTGGGGGTCATATGATTTGGGTCCAAGCCAATGACCAGTCATGCTTTTCTCAGTATTTACAGGACAATAACAAGATGGTACAATGACAAACACCACAACCATAATAATATGGCAGTACCATGAAAGAGACCATGACCATTTCCTGCTTAACTGGTTTTGTTTTACCTTTTGGAATTGTGTGCACATCTCATTCCTTTCTACATAATTAATTTAAAGTTTACTTCACATTTTGAAGTGAACTGTCTGATGTGTCTTTCAATAGTTGTGAACTATCAGTGTAGATGAATCACCTCACAGAGATGTAATCAATGAAGCAAGCAAGCAAGCAAGCAAGCAATTGTACACCATTACTAAATACAATCAGAACTTGATCATTCTTCAGCTAAAATAATCTGTCTTGCTCAAGATTTCCCACTATATCTCATGTTTAACCAGTACATGTTAAGCTTCGTCTCTTTTCAAATTTACATAAGAAAACATTCATAGAAAATTATATGACTGAGGCAGTCATGGGTGATGTAAAATGAACACTGTTCACAACTGCAGCAAACTTTGTTCTGTCAAGACCGAAATAAGGATACAAACAGCTTTAAATAAATATAAGATTTTTAACCACTGTTCAGTGTCATTGATAAAAGTTGTTTTTAATTTTTCATCCTTTACATTTTTTCCATCAAAACGACCATTTTCAAAAGGATATTATCAACACAAATTGAAATTACTATTACACTGTCATAGGTATAAATATTATATCTTTTAACTAATACTAAGTTGTACACTGATTTGTTAAAACATCTAAAAATCATTACAGCAAGTCTGTTTACAAAGTAATGCACAATATCTGTTTTAATCTAGAACCACTTTGGTTTGTGTTGTTACACTTCTCCTGCATCTTCCATTAAGAAGAAACATTAACATTAACTCCGTGGACCACAGTCCTTGAGAAGCCTACAGCCACTCAGCTACTTAAGAAATACTCCACCTTTAACGGAACCCAAAGGGTCAATCTCGTATTCACATGACCGAATCACTGGTCCCTGTCCTGAGCCAAATAAATTCAGTCCACACAGTCAAACCACTCCTGTGAGAAGCACTTTAGTGTAACGCCTAGGTCTTCCAAGTGGTCTATCATCTTCAAGTTTTCGTGATGACATTTTGTATGCATTTCTCATCTCTCCCATGCGTGCTACATGTTTTGCCTACTTCATCTTCCTCGATTTAGTCACCCTCATAATACTAGCCGAAGAGTAGAAATTACAATGCTCCTCATTAAGGAACTCCGCTCTGTCTCCTGCCACTTCCTCCCTCTCCTGTAGAGATATCCTCCTCAGCATCCTGTTCTCAAACATACCACTGTACAATGAAATCCTGATTATCCAAGGTAATGTAGGGAACAAGTAGCATATACCCGCTATCCACACTGCATTCAACCCTGATAATTTAATTATTACTTAATACTGTTGTGCTACTTGTACCCAGTGAGACAAATATCTTTCAATAGAAGAAAGCAATGCTTCTTCAATGGTCACAAGTCAGTGCAAAATGTAACCAAATAACATAACAAATTTTCACAAGGCTGAGAAGACGTACAGTTTACAGAAAAGCATTACTAATACGAGGGGGTACCCAAAAATAACTGGAACCGACCTGTTGCGCGCGCATGCTTTGTAGTTACGAGTTGTGCTGCTAGGTGATGTTAGCTGGGGGTCTCCCGCGACTGTTAGTGAGCTGGAGTCAGTCTGAGTTAAGTGGTTTGTCTGTGGTGCTCTGTTGTGTGCGTTCCTGTTTCAACACTTTGGCGATTAGTGAGATGGCCGACCAGAAGGAACAAAGAGTGTGCGT